ACGGGTAGCGGGAGGCACAGAGCCAGAGGGATTCAGGGTGCGGTGGAGGCACGGGGAATGGGACGCGGGGAACGGCAGGGGCAGAGGGATCGGGGTCTAGGGGCAGTGCAGGGAATGAGTAGCATAAAGCTGGGGGGGCAGGGATCGGAGGGGAGCAGGGTGCAAGGGCGGCACAGAGCCATAGAGTCACAGGGAAGAGGGAGAGCAGGGGATCCGGGGTACAGGGAAACAGGGGCAGCGTGGGGAACAGGCGGCATAGAGAAAAAGGTGTGCAGGGCGGGTGCAGCGAGCCGGGTGCTCGGCCGGGAGCGATCTCTCACCGGCGAGGGAGTTGGGGCCACGGCAGGACCGGAGCCGGCAGGGCGGGGCCTGGCTGCGCTGCAGCCAGTTCTCGGGGCCACGCATCCAGAGCCGAGCTGCCGCGGCCTTATAAAATCAGCAGGGCCATGTCACACCAGCATCCTGGAGTCTGCTGGCATCCCGCCCTCTGACTTGTGGCCTGCCTTCTCGCGCTGGAGCTGCACACAGGCAGCCTGGCGCTGAGAATCACTGCACTTCCCCCTTCCCGGCGGCGCTCCGCTCCTCCGCCCAGCTGGCGGATCGGATGGGGCTGCATCGCCCATAGTGCGGGCTGTGGCCAGCCCATCACAACCGCCCACTGGGCCAGTCCTCCCTGCACTTGCCAGCTGATAAAGTCTACTCGCCACGGGCGAGCGCATTTGTCGAGCCCTGCTAACAGAAGTAACGATTTGGCCAGTGAAGATTCCAAAGCGGCTCTCAGAGTCACTTAACAGCTACCCTCGCCTTCCCACTATGACTAATAGAACAACACTTCATAACCGGTTTAGAGTCAAAGATAAAGGTTAAAACTTGGAAGACCACAAAAAGCCGTCTGGGACAGTCATCTTCAGAATCATTTTCCCCGGGTTTTCCAGTGTTATTCTTACCATGTCTTGTGGGTGATGAAGGCACATAAGTACCTTTTGTCACAGCGGCACTATATGTTTGCGCTACTAGTGGCCGGTCATGTGATGCAGACTCTAAAATTTCATTGGCTGGCTCCATGCTGCCATCCAGCCTAGTGGGTATAAGGAGGCATTAGAAGCACAGAAGTGGTTCAAGTAACGATCACCAATACAATTCCAAGACCTTCATATTATGCATGCGAGAAAAACATGTGTGGGTGTGACATTTAAGAGGTTCTTATGGCCTTCGGTCACTCAACAACTTTCTAATCTCCAATGTCACACATCACTTACACTGTGGCTGCCATCCAGCCTAGTGGGTATAAGGAGGCATTAGAAGCACAGAAGTGGTTCAAGTAACGATCACCAATACAATTCCAAGACCTTCATATTATGCATGCGAGAAAAACATGTGTGGGTGTGACATTTAAGAGGTTCTTATGGCCTTCGGTCACTCAACAACTTTCTAATCTCCAATGTCACACATCACTTACACTGTGACCGGGAAAGCATTTGGTGGACTGCACATCTCACCACAAACACAAAAACAAATCATCTAAATCTGGCAGGCTGGATGTGGTCAACAGGCCGTAGACCTTTGTCTGGTCCCCGATCTCCCACCAGGGGAGAGCAGCCTCATGTCCCTTCCATTCTGTCCTCTCCCACAGCCTCAGCTCTGACAACACCAGGGCGGCACGCATGCCGCACTTACAGCCATGATGCTAGGAGTGGTGAAGATGTGAGTGCCGGCCGGTGGCACGGCTGCAGCGCTGTCTGCCCCAGTGCTCTAAGCAGCACAGTCTGGGAAGCAGAGGTTTTGCACAGGGGTGGGAGCTCCCTGGGGCAGTTGGATGGGAGACCAGGGATTCCAAGGGGGCAGTCAGGGGATTATATCAGGGGCAGGGACCAGGCCACACCTGGCTGTTTGGCGAGGCACAACCTCTCCTACCCACCTTCCATACAATTTCTGAAGCCTGATTTAGTGACACTGTTAGGTTGGTTTTTTCCCCCTATCGCAGATGGAAACCAGCAGAATCTGGCAACCCTGCCTATGGGCAATGGTAAACAAAATGTCACGCAGACCCTGGGTGGACTGCCCCAAGTTGCCCACCACTGCACTAGATAATTCAGACCAGAAACAGGGCGCACGTTTTTATTTTTAAACGATGATGATTACCAAGTAGAACAATCCACCTAAGCAATGTGGTGGATTACCCAGGACTTGAAATATTTAAATCAAGCCTGGATTCTTTTCTAGAAGATATGCTTTTGCCCCAAAAGACATTAAAGCCCCTTTGCAGGAACTACTGGGTGAAATTCCACGACTTGCAATATACAGGGGGTCAAACTACCTGATAATGTAGTGTCTTTCTGGCCTTAAAAAAAAAAAAATCCATAAACCCCTGCTATGCTATTAGCCCTGATCTCTCCTAAACCATTCTATAGAACAGCTACTAAAATAGGCCATGTGGCTACGGCCTACAGACAAGGTAGCTTACAAGTAAGCCTGTACTAAGGTGTTAAAATACGATTATTTGGCTAATCGACTATACAATTAGTCGGTAAGTGCCTCTGCAGAGCCTCAGCAGGTGGGGAGGGGAAGGGGAGGATAGCTCCACAGGAGCCAACTCGAGCCGGGACTGAGCAGCCCTGGCTCATACTCGCTCCAGAGCCACCCACGCTATGGCTCTGCATTTTAGATGTAGTAAGAGCTGCTGGGCTCTTACTACATTTAAAATTCAGAGGTGCAACAATAAGTACGAGCTGGAACTGCTTGGTCCCGGCTCGTGTTGAGTCCTGCAGCCCCTGTTCACAGCAGTCAGTCATGTCCACTGTGAACAGGGACTGGTGCTGGAGCAGCCCATGTGCAGCGGCCAGGCTTGGCTACGGACAGGAGCTGCTACCTGAGCAGACCCTGCCTGTGATCAGCCCTGGCCAATGTGAACAGGGGTTGCTTGGTGGCAACAGCTCCTGTCTGCAGGGTGGGCCCAGCTCCCTGCTGGGGATACTGCCTCTGATAGAGGGGGGGGGGGGGGGGGGGGGGGCAGGCGGCACCCCGAGATGGTGCTGGGGGACCCGGCTTTTAAGCCAGTTCCCCCCAGCACTGGCTCCTGTCCCCCCCTTGCTGCCTCTAAGAGCAAGAAGCAGAAGTGCCCGCTGTGGGAACTGGTGTGTACGGGGACAGAAGCAGTCTCTGCTCACACTGTTTCCCACTGTGCCTCTGCCTCCCCTTCTCCACACAGAGATGGTACTGGGAGGAAACCAGCTTTTCTGCTTCCCTCCCCTAGCTGCCTCTCTCTGATAAATGTGAGAGGAGGGGAAGGGGAAGCGACTAGTCAAGTTGACTGATAAGCATTTGCTTATCGGACAGTCGACTAGTCGCTTACATCCCTAGCCTGTACTGTGACATTATATAATCAGTGCAAAAGGTACTCTCTGTATTTGTAAAATGAGGATCCTGGCACTTCTCCTTTGGAAAGTTCTCTGGATGAGGCGTGTTAAGTGTCACACGTTTCATATTCTTGTCACAGTAACAACCACCAGCAGGAGATGGGAGTATAAGCTAACAGCAGATTGATTCTTGATTGCTATCAGACAGCATTAAGTTCCTGCTGCAAGTGTGATGCTTATTGTAACAGTTCCTTGGAAGGAACAAGCAGAAGACGCTAAAGGTTACTCGCCTCCTGCCTCTGCTCTTAAAAAAATATCAATACAAAAATGAGTTCTAAGGTTTGAGTTCAGCAACAGGAAATGAGTTTTGGAACAAGAGAGATTTTTATCAGGCCAGTTATATTAGAAAAACAAATGTGACAAGTACTCAGGAAGGGCTGAGTCTGGACTTACTTGTGCTGTTTCATTAGTGTGCACTCTCCTCCTTCCTGGGGATCTAGGTTGTACATATAGAGGTACCCATCAGACGCTCCCACCAGTAAACGGGGAATCTTCTGGATTCTAGGGGAGATCACGAGAGGACACTGAAAACCAAGTTTTAGGAATGTGACAGTTTTATACCAGCAAAAAGAGTGGTTTCTAAGGGATCACTTCCACTCACTTGTTCCCTCGCTATAGCTCATAAGAAATCTGGTATCAATGGCTACATAGGCAGGGTTCCCATGACAAAATAACATACAGGGCAATCCAGCAAAAAACTACCACTGGCATTAAAAGAGGGCCAACCGTCTAGATCTTGTGCACATCAATTGACTCACATTTGGAGGCAGTATTGCCTAATGGCTAAAAGAGCCAAGGAGTCAGGAGACACTGGTCTGCTTACTAGCTCTGCTACTCATTTGCTGTGGCCTCCTATGTCACTCAATTTCTCCATCTAAGGCGACAATATACTTCTCTATCACACAGGCATGAGGTGAGGCTGATTTCACATCTGCAGAGAGCTCAGAGATCATAAGAACGGCCACATTGGGGGTACGTCTAGACTACATGCCTCTGTCGCCAGAGGCATGTAGATTAGGCTACCAGGCATAGGAAAATGAAGCGGCGATTTAAATGATCGCCGCTTTATTTAAATTTACTTGGCTGCCGCGCTGAGCCGACAAACAGCTGATCAGCTGTTTGTCGGCTCAGCGCGGCAGCCAAGTAAATTTAAATAAAGCGGCGATCATTTAAATCGCCGCTTCATTTTCCTATGCCTGGTAGCCTAATCTACATGCCTCTGGCGACAGAGGCATGTAGTCTAGACGTACCCTGGGTCAGACCAAAGGTCCATCTAGCCCAGTATCCTGTCTTCCAACAGTGGCCAATGCCAGATGCCCCAGAGGGAGTGAACAGAACAGAGAATCTTCAAGCAATCCCTCCCCTGTCACCCATTCCCAGCCTCTGCCAGAGTCCAGGGACACCATTCCTACCCATCCTGGTCAATAGCCCTTGATGGACCTAACCTCCATGAATTTATCTAGTTAAATTCTAGATCAGATTAAATACGATTCAATGTGAAGTGAAACTTGTAAGTTTGAGTAGATCTGCACAAATTTATTAATTCCCCACAAAACACATGTAATATTGCAGTTTATTACTTTGATAGCTGTGTTCAGACTGAATGAAGACTAAAATATGTGTAGTCATTTTAAAAAGATTTGTGAATACCATGCTTTTACCAAATCTGAGAGATTGTCTCAGGAAAGTGCCAAAGCTGGGGTCTGCAATTCCCTTTAAAGTCTTCTATATTGGATAGTCAGGACTGTCTAATGAACTACATAATGCCAAATGTACAAGCATTTTATTTAGCACAAAGGGGGAATGAATATTGTAGGTCTGAGTCTGTTCTTCCTTCACTATAAAGGATTTCGGGAACCTCACAAAATCGTCTCTAAAAAGCCATTAATGCCACAATCACCCCTGAAGGAACGCTCTACCCTCTATTTCAGTCAACTCTGAGTAATTAGTTCCTGAGCACGACGAAGCTTCTAAATGGTTCCAGCCCCTGATGTGTTCTATACATGAGCCATTTAGCTACAAATGAGATGTGTGACCTGACATGCCGGACAAGCTTGACACATTATCTACACAGTCAATGCTTCCTTTGCTTGATGCTGGCAATCCACCAGATGGTGAGGAAAAAACACAACTCATCTCTAAACTCACGTGGCGAGAGCACAGATGTTTTTGTGTCCGCAGAATGGCAGGCGGACTGTAGCAAAGGCTCTGCCCTGGTTGAACATTTCAGTGACTTGAGAGGGCAGATAGCTTGTGGAGGCCATCAGCACTTTTCCAAAGTAACCTGTCCAGGTAGTGGGCTCTTCCTGAGGTCTAAAGTTTAGGAGGAAGAAAAAGGAATGTTGCATTCTATCGTGTATTTTGACATTAAAAACAACCTGCAAAGGAAGAAGGATGGTTGGTGATCTTTTTATTTTGACATACAAAGGCTCTTTTCCTAGTTTTCCTCCTTCCCCTTAGAAATAACACTACTGATACATCTAGTATGTCTATTTTTGTTGGGCTTCTCACTGGACGTCTTATGTACTATGAGCATTCTTAGCCCTTTATTGAAATGGTAGGATGTTAAAATTGCTAACTTTTTTCTGTTTATAAAATTGCATTATGAAGTGTTAAATACAAAGTTTAAGCAACCCCAAAATAAAAAAGAGCCACTTCCATTCTCAATCAAGTTTCACTCTCATTTATATAGTATCATCATTCAACTATTATCCACAGAGTCTCTCAGCGATAACAGTAAATAACATCTGAATTTCTAATATAAAGATCATGCAAGAAAACCGAGAAACCTTTCTAGAACTCCTTTATGCATCATGACACAGCCAACAGGGCTCAAATATAAATTTCCTTTGTAGGTCACCTTTGAAATGATAATCTAGAGAGTTAGTATGCTCCATGTGCTCACCAACATGAACGTAAGTGTTTTAAGTTGCAGCCTTTTATAGCACTTTGTGCATCTGAATGTCAGCACTATGATACACACAGGTGAGGAAGATGACTGACTTTGTGTAGTAAGAGGCACATGTGTGATTAAAAAATTTATCTGCCCCTCATACTTCCCCCAAGGACATTCCAAATTCTCATTAGCAGAAATAACTTAGCTATTTACAGAGGCACATGTATTTCAGCAGCTGGATTCAAACAGCTGATCCACAATTCTCTTGCTATGTCCATGCCCTTAACAGTAAGGGGTTTTCAAAAGATGGAAACGTCTAAGATGAAAATTCATCCAGATTATCAAATAAATCAGTTTCTTGAGCATTTCTGAAACTTACTTTTCTTTCACAGTCTCGAGTTTGAAGATGTGCACTGTCTCTGTGTTACTGGATGCAGAAAGGAACATACCATCCATGCTGAAGGCCAACGAGCAGATGCTTACACACCTAGAAAAGAAAATAACTGCATAAATCTCTACATACTAGTGCTAAACCAACCGAGAAACAGTATCATTAAATCATATACAGCTCGTGAGTCTCAGTTAACGTGAGAATATTAGTTCCTCACGCTAACGTATAGGAATTTTTGTCATTGAATATTTCCAGCCTCTTCAGTTAAACCAGCTGCACTATGCAGGCCAGGAAAAAAACAATCCGGAAATGTTGCAGAAAGGTGGAAAGACAGCTTTCCTTTTCAGTCTTGTATCAGAGACTTACAGATCACTCACATCTAAGCCAAGATCCCCAAAGGACTTGGAGCCTGTGTGCAGTGCCCCCGTGAATCAGAAAAGGGAAAACATTTCTATAGAACATTCTGAACTCTTTTCACTGACATTTCCTGATTCACTCAAGGAGAGAGAATCTCAGGCTTTTGAGTTTGGATGGCTCGTTCTTCACTGGATTTCAACTGAGACACCAGCTAGGGAATCAGCAGGCATCAGAGTCCAAATTCGGTCTACCCATCTCTACATAAAGCCCAGTGCAACTACATGGCTAAGTGTCATACCAACTGCAGTATTATACCAATGATTTACTGTCATCAAAATGGTTAAAGAGATTTGAAGTAGTGTGAAAACAAACTATCAGCTATTTACACGTCATTTTTCTGCCATGAAATCTGAGTGTGCCCCAAATGTGAACTTGATAGCCTTTGTGAAATGAGTTTTTAAAGTCTCAAGAGAGGCCCAGGTCTGAATGAATCATAGAGAGATCAAACACTTGTATCAGTTCTTTTCAATACCTATTCTAGTGTTTTATACCTGTAGATTAGTGCAGCCTCACATAGTACTGTAATCATACCAGATACATTACAGTAGTTGACCTGTGTCAAACAAGTATCCGCACCAGTAAATTTCTAATCTAAAAGCAAGTACAATAATGCATGTGGCAAGCTTTGGAAGGGAAGGAAGCTAGCATACATTCAACTGAAAGTTGTTCCAGGCACACTAAATGATAGGAAAACAAGAGTGGGCGAAGGACACTGATGCGGACAGACCAGGTGCCAGCTCATGCTAAAGTCCCCACATCTCAGTTGAGCAATGGTAAACACACAGCTGGAATCACTCTGGATCACCTGTGTATTAACAGTGTTAAAATCAGTGTTGTAAGAATATGTTCACCATTAGGATTTTATTAAACTGTTGCAAGTTGCTGCATGCATTGATCTCACTTATCAGAGTGATAACCATAATGGAAGGTAAGATTTGAGCCCTTCTTTTGTGAACCTCTGTGATTCTAAAAGTCACCAGAAAGAGGAGAGAGAGAGACCAGTTAGTGTGAACTGCTAATCTTCAACAGAAGATGTTATGTCCTTCACAACAGGAAAGGGCCACAAATACCAAACTGATTATTGTGGGATGTCAAAGAGGACAAAAAAAAGTTTGTCTCCTCTCTCTTTCATGCTGCCCCAGTGAAGATGAGTCATGCAAGTGGATTCCTCCGAGAAACTGAGTTTGCACATAGGAGAAGGATAGAAGCCCCCAAACAAAAGGAACTAGGTATTTCTATGTAGCTTGGACTCTAGAAGGCAATGTTTTTTCGGGCACAGGCATGAGAATCCCCACTGCTTAGCTTGGGTTAACCCTAAAGGACATGCAGAACTTGCTAATTATAGAAACATCTATTAACTTTTGAAATTTAAGATTGTAACTCATTTACCTGCTTTAACCTTGTACAATAACTCTCTGATTTCCTTTTCCTATTTAAGGACTTTTCATATAATTTTTATAGGATTGATTACAAATGTTGTCTTAGATCTCACACCAAAGGTGCAAGTGACCTGGGGTAAATGAGCAATCCTTTGGAACTGGAAATATCAAAGTGAGTCTCAAATATATGGGACCATCTATCACAAAAAGTATGCTTATCTGGGTAACAAAATAGGCTGGAGTACCCAACGAGACTATATGTGACTCCATCTTCAAGTACTATAGTATTTGAAGAGTTTACACTACCTGAGGAGTTTACACTTCATCAATGGCTAGTAAAATCTAAGTACAGAACTCACAGCTACTTCGAGGTTTGTGCCCTGCTTCCTAGCAGTCTGCCCTGAGGTTGGTACTCACACTCAAGTCGTTATATTTAAGAGGCAGAATTCAGGAGACAAACTTGAGTAGTCTGTAGGGAGGAGCTGTTGGAGAAGAGGAGTAGAGAAATGTAGACAGAAATGGGGTACTTGGTGCTCTGCAGACATGATTTGACTTAATGGGAAAGGGGGATGTCTGCTCAGAAATCTGACCATCTCTCTCCAAACACAGATCAGAGAGAAACAAAACAAACTTCCCATCTGAATACACAGAGACAAGGAAAGAGCAGAGCACAGGAAGGTGAAGCCTAGAGAAAATTGCAATAGTCGAGAAGGAAAGTTATCAGAGTATCAACAAGTACCTTAATACTGAAAACGGGACAAATTTTGGAAATATTGGTCTGCAAGGCAGAGTGTGTGAAAGGGAGGAAAAGAAGAATTGAAAAGGTCACCATAACGGTGATGGAATGACTGAAAAAGTTGTGTCATTTTAATTGGGTTTTTATCTGTCAGTGCTGCTATGTATATTTCAGCTGCATCTGCCAACAAGGACTATTCGCCGTTTAAAATGAAAGAAGAAAGCAAAAAACGTAAGTTTATAAAAAATGCTCATTAATACTATTAGAATCTAAAGGACCCCTTGACACACCCATAATGAATGCTTTTATATTTACACTCAGTTCACAAAAATATACTTGTAATGTTGAAAGATAAGGGCAATCAAATGTATTCTGAAGGCTTTGGAAGTATATTAGAGCCTTCAATAAATGCCAGTATAGCCAAAGATTAAGCACAAGACCTTGCTTGTCATTGCCTAAAAGGCAGACTATATATACATATAACTGACATGCTCTCTTTGGTGAGAAGCTTCTGGTGACACTGGCAAATAAAAACTGCTTGAATACCTTTGAGCTAATGATATAGGAACATGTTATTATAATGTACATTTGTTATGTAGGTGGTGTCCTTGGCCTCTGTTTGTCAGAGGCTGGAGAAGGATGTCAGGAGACAAATTGCTTGATCATTGTTTTCGGTCCACCCTCTCTGGGGCACCTGGTGTTGGCCACTGTCAGCAGACAGGATACTGGGCTAGATGGACCTTTGGTCTGACCCAGTACAGCCATTCTTATGTTCTTATGAGAAATCTGAGGAAAGGGATGGCTCCTTAAGGCTGCTTGTTTCTGATCTCCTGATGAAACTACACAAAGCAGATAGACACCTGTTTATAATTAACAGTCACTGGAAATTGAATGAGATTTAAATAAAAAATGAGCACCATTATCAAAACTAAAAAGTTAAGATTCTATAGTTTATGAAAACACGGATAGCTCTCAAAATTAGACTTTCAATTAAAGGCAGATTCCAGTAGGACTTCCATTTTTGTTCATTTATGTTAATCCCTAAATGGCTAGCAAGTAGTCCTGAAAACTGGTCATCTCCATCCTTACAATATTCTAAAACTCAGAAGAGGTATATTGCATAAAAACCATCATCCTCATTATTCAAAATAAACTCCCAAGTGGTCAATTTACACTTTCTCTAAAGGAACGTTCAGATAACAACCAGGGATATGTAGTAGAAGTGAAGTATACTTAGAGTATGTCTACACTACGGATCAATCCAGTGGGGGTTGATTTGATCTCTCATGTTGACTCTGGTACTCCATCAGAACAGGAAGTGCAAAAGGAGTTGACTGGAGAGCATCTCCCATTGACACACTGTAGTGAAGACACTATGGTAAACAGATCTAAGCAGGTTGACTTCAGCTACATTATTTATGTAGCTGAAGTTGCTTAACTTAGATTGATCACCTCTCATAGTATAGACCAGCCCTTAAAAGTTCAGCATGGCTACTCTCCCCACCCTAAGATTTAGCTCACTTTGCTATACGATAGTATTAATGCTCAGCAAAGACTCTTCATAAATGGGAGCAGTTGCATAAGCAATTCTAGTAAACTATTGTGAGGTGAAAGGATACTATATTTCCTAAAGGCAATAATGCACTGCCACACTGAAAAGGAGGTCACTGGGTGCAGGTATTAAGCAAGCACCAATGTTTAACTTTTTAAAAAATCCTAGATTTTAAAAGGAAAACAAAAGAGCTTTTCATCAGCTATGTATTGCACTTGTACACAGCAGAAAAGAGTT